GGGTTTCACCATGTTGACCAGGATGGTCTCGATCTCTTGACCTCGTGATCCACCCGCCTCGGCCTCCCACAGTGCTGGGATTACAGGCTTGAGCCACCGCGCCCGGCCTTAATATGTTTTTTGAGATGGAGTCTTGCTCTGTCACCCATGCTGGAGAATGTCATGATCTCGGCTCACTGCAATCTCCACCTCCCAGATTCATGAGATTCTCCTGCCTCAGTCTCCCGAGTAACTGGGATTACAGGCGCCCGCCATCATGTCTGGCTAATTTTTGTATTTTTAGTAGATATGGGGTTTCACCATGTTGGCCAGGTTGGTCTCAAATTCCTGGCCTCGAGTGATCCTCCGCCTGGGCCTTCCAAAGTGCTGGATGACAGGTGTGAACCACCACATCCAGTCTTCACTTTTGATTTGAAAGGATCACAATGGGGCTGGGCATGTTGAGTTACACCTGTAATCCCAGCACTTTGGGAGGCCAAGGCCCAGCCTAACCAACATGGAGAAACCCTGTCTCTACACAAAAATTAGCCGTGCATGGTGGCTCATGCCTATAATCCCTGCACTTTGGGAGGCTGAGGCAGGTGGATCACCTGAGCTCAGGAGTTCGAGACCAGCCTGGCCAAAACGGAGAAACTCTGTCTCTACTAAAAATACAAAAATTAGCTGAGCGTAGTGGTGTGCACCTGTAGTCTCAGCTATTCAGGAGGCTGAGGCAGGAGAGTCGCTTGAACCTCGGAGGCGGAGGTTGCAGTGAGCCCAGATCCAGCCATTGCACTCCAGCCTGAGGAACAAGAGCAACTCCATTGCAAAAAAAAAAAAAAAAAAAAAAAAATGATCAGCGAGGTGCAGTGGCTTATGCCTGTAATCTCAGCACTCTGGGATGCCGAGGTGGGTGGATCACCTGCGGTCAGGAATTCAAGACCAGCCTGACCAACATGGAGAAATACAAAATTAGCCAGGTGTGGTGGTGCATGCCTATAATGCCAGCTACTTGGGAGGCTGAGGCAGGAGAATAGTTTGAACCCAGAAGGCAGAGGTTGCAGTGAGCTGATTGCACCATTATACTCCAGCCTGGGCAACAAGAGCGAAACTCTATCTCAAAAACAAACAAACAAAAAGGATCACAATGGCTGCTATGTGGAGAACAGTACAGTGGGAAAAGGGGAGAAGAAGAGAGATCCGACTAGAGGCTACTGTTACAGTCCATGTGAACACGGAGGTGATAGATGACTGATCAGTGGAAATAATGAGTAGCAGCTAGATCCTGGCTATACTTTAAAGAAAGAACCAAAGGATTTACTGATGAATTGCATGATTTATGGGAGAAGAGTCCAGGATATCACAAACATTTTTAACCTGAGCAAACAGAAAAATGAAGGTGCTATTTACTGAGATGAGGATGAATGGGGGAGGAGCAGGCTTGGGGGAAAAAATACTGGAAATACATATATTTGTGATCATAATATCTAGAAAAGCATCAAGTTAAGTTTGAAAGTTACTGCTGAATTAAAAAACCTCATTTAAATAGAAGATATAATTATGTCCATTAAATTAAGCAGGCAAAAATAACGAATATTCACTCTAAGAAATACTCAGGACCAGCAGGGCACAGTGGCTCACATCTGTAATCCCAGCACTTCGGGAGCTGAGGCGGGCAGATCACCGGAGGTCAGGAGTTTGAGACCAGCCTGACCAACATGGAGAAACTCTGTCCCTACTAAAAATACAAAATTAGACAGGCATGGTGGCACATGCCTATAATACCAGCTAATGGCAAGAGAATCGCTTTGGAGGTAGAGTTTGCAGCGAGCCAAGATCATGCCACTGCACTCCAGCCTGGGCAATAAGAGTAAAACTCCACTTCAAAAAAAAAAGAAGAAATACTCAGTACCTTCTCAGCAGCTTCAACAGTCTTTTGCGTTTTCTTAGCAGCATATCTCTTGTGATCATAATACCTAGAAAAACATATTTCTGTTAAATTTTAAGTAAAACCTTTACTGTTTAGTTTTCTGCTTCTAACTTTACAAATTCTCAAATTATACAGAACAGAACAAACTGTATAATTAACAAAACTAAATTTAAAAATGTATTTTCACCCCCCCAAAAAAAAGTATGCATATACAGGTGAAATTTTGAATTTTTTTTAACATCCTTAATTCCTTAATTTATTGCAGATAATATTTTGCCTAAAATTTAAACTTAAATGACTTACTTTTTGGCATTGGCATATGCTGACAAGCTGAGATCAACATCTACAAGTAATGGCTTATTTTTCTGAGGCTTCTGCAGCTGTTTATTCTTTTGCTTTTTCTTTTTTCCTTTTGGTGGTTCGGTTTCATTTTTCTCAACACCGACGTCACCATCAACATCATCATCTTCCTCCTCTGATAACAAGTGTGGATTTCTTAGCAGCATTGTACCATGATTTGTTTGTAGTTTTAATTCTTTGATTGCACTTGCAACAGGGTCTCCTTGAGCTTGGGCTTCTTTCACAATTAACCCAATTTCTGTCCAATCTATTTGGCTAGCTAAAGCACTTCGAACTACCTGAATGGCTCTGTCAACTATTTGTAGGTTCATTTCTATGAGCTCTCCTTTCAGTTTGTCTATTTCCTTAAGAAACAAACCAAACACATTTACTATATTGACAGTTAAAGTTAACATTTTTGAAAAAGCACTGAAATTGGCATTCATGAAGGGTTAAATCAAAAAAGAAAAAGGAAAAAAAAAAAAAGAAAAAAGAAAAAGCACTGAGAAAGCCAAACATAATACCTGAGTCTGCTGAAGAGCTTCCAATCTGTTTTCATGATCCTTTCGAACATTATCTAATTTCTTCAATGCTTGCTTTTCCTTTTGATAAAGCAGATTTTTAAAAATTAGAGTTCTCTTATCTCGTGATGCCCCTCTCTTACTTCCCAACCCTCACTATCCTGACCCCATCTATGCTGTTATCTAACTGGCTGAAGTTCTCATAGTCTAATACCCTAGACCTATCCCACTACAATGTATTCCATAACCCACAATTATGTCTCCTGTCTCCCTACCTCTCACTCCTCATATAGGAAGTATTTGGATTACAAGTTATTGTGTATATAAGATATACCCCTAATACCCTTTGCATTATTCAAACAGGCAGAAATCAAGACATTTTTTCCTAAGGTACAAAAGTAAAGTTTGGGTGAATGAATTCGTTATTTTTTTGTTTGTTTTTTAAATAATAGAAACAGGGTCCCACTATGCTGCCCAGGCTGCTCTCAAACTCCTGAGCTCAATCCTCCCACCTCAGCCTCCTAGAGTGCTGGGATTACAGGCCTGAGCCACTGCACTGGCAGAGAATGAATTTTTAAAGAGCATAAATTACCAAGTGACTTTTTATTTTTTGCTGCTTTTGGTTTTCTCAGTACCATTTCTGGTATTTTACAGAAACTTTCCCCCCTAAATTTATAAGACAAAGGCTTATGGTAGTTATTTGACCTTCTATATGGCATTTTATCATATATAATTTATATTTCAAGGTTATCAATTTGGGGGCCAAATTTCTAATACTAGTAATAATATCATCAATTAATGAGTATTTAAATGCTGGATGAAATATTTATATATTCAGATAAGAATGGTGACTATTAAAACAACCCACAATGATTACCAAAATAAATCACCAGTATTTTGACACCCATAAAAACACAGGATTCAGTTTACTAGCCAAAGTGCTGCCACCATGTGGTAATCGCCTGATGTAATTCACTTGACTAGCCTACCTGCTTTTAAATTATGCTATGATTAACCAATTTTTTTTTTCTTTGAGTCACAGTCTCGCTCTGTTGCCCAGGCTGGAAAGCAATGGTATGATCCCTGCTCACTGCAAACTCCGCCTCACAGGCTCAAGTAATTCTGCTGCCTCAGCCTCCCAAATAGCTGGGATTACAGGTGCCCACTACAACACCTGGCTAGTTTTTGTATTTTTAGTAGAGAGAGGGTTTCAGCATTTTGGCCAGGCTGTTCTTGAACTCCTGACCTCCAATGATCTGCCACCTCAGCCTCCTAAAGTGCTGGGATTACAGGCATGAGCCACCTCGCCAGCCAATTAACTAATTTTTTTAAACTGAAAGGGAAGTGGCACAGGGATTCAAACAAATTGATTTTTTTTTTTTTTTTTTGAGACAAAGTCTGGCTCTGTCACCCATGCTGGAGTGCAGTAGCATGGTCTCAGTTCATTGCAACCTCTTCCTCCTAGGTTCAAGCAATTCTTGTGCTTCAGTCTGCTGAGCAGCTGGGAGTAAAGACACCCATCACCACACTCCGAGAATTTTTGTATTTCCAGTAGAGATGGGGTTTCACCATGTTGGCCACGCTGTTCTTGAACTCCTGACCTCAAGTGATTTGCCCATCTTAGCATTCCAAAGTGCTGGGATTTATAGGCGTGAGCCACCATGCCCAGCCTCAAATAATTTGAAATTTTGGCACACACATTTTAAGACTATTTTCGAAAAATCAAATTCCCTTCAAATCAAGAGTGACTGTTAACAATTTATGAAACTGTTCTGCAGCAAATGCTCTAAAACATGGTCAGGTGTGCTGGGAAAATACTGTATATTACTTCCTTTGGAGACATGATGCACAGAAAACATATTAAAGACCTAGCTTCAAAGTCCATTTAAAAAAGAAACAGTTTAATGATAAACAATATCCCCTCCAGTGGCCTACTTAAAATCTCCCCAGAACAGTAGTCCCTTAATAGCAATGTCTGAGAAGCTTTGGGTTGTTCTGAGCAAACCACACTAAGGTAAAAATAACAGGCCTCACCTTCCCACTGTTTTTTTTCTATTTTAAAGATTATCTGATACACTCATGAAACAAATGAGGATATACTTTTCAAATCCCCCATGAACCTTTCTCATAAACCTTTGTCATAAATAAAGAGGCAGGTCAGAGAGTTCCCATACTACTTGTTACATACTTTCTGAAAGGCTACCTTTTCCTATATAAAAGCATCATCTACCCATCAAACCACTAAAGATCAGCTGGTTTAATATGTGTTTTTAATAATACATACCTGTTGTAAAGCTTTTAAGTCAATTTTCTGGCCTTCTATCTTGGAATAAAACTCATCCACAGCCTTATTTAAAAAACAGACAAACAACTAGTTGAAAAAAAAGTATGGTCTCCAGTTCAAAATGCATATGCAGAATGTTATTTTACTTTTTTTTTGAGATGGGATCTTGCTCTGTTGCCCAGGCTGGATTGCAGTGGCACAATCTGGGCTCACTGCAACTTCCTCCACCTCCCCGGTTCAAGTGATTCTCTTGCCTCAGCCTCTCAAGCAGCTGGGACTATATGCACACCTCACCACGTACTGGTAATTTTTGCAGTTTTTAGTAGAGACAGGCTTTCACTGTGTTAGCCAGATTGGTCTTGAACTCCTGACCTCAAGTGATCTGCCTGTCTTGGCCTCCCAAAGTGCTGAGATTATAGGCGTCAGCTACCATGCCCAGCCACGTACACAAAATTTTAGATTCCATTTTATTTCCTAACACCACTCAAAGAACTTGAGCAGACTTCCAGCAAATGTATTATATAGCTAAACAGTATCAAGAATCAAAACAAGTTCAAATCTCTGGTCCTTCATCCTGAAATACAGTAGCAACAATTATTTCCAACACCTGTATCTGTGACTACACTGATTGTTAATGCCCAGATTCATAGTGATTATAAAGCAGGTATAGTTTCAATTTCTCAGTAGAAATAAGTTGATATTAACAGTTCATATCATGCTAACTAACTGGTCAAGGAACAGAATGAAAAAAACTCACCTTGTCAAATGATTCAAATTCTATATATGGACATTGTGAATGTTGAGAAAACAAGAAAGGATGAAATTCCTCATACCTGTAAAACACATTTATTATATCACATTCAAGAACATTAACAAACATCCAAGGCAAATTGACCCATGCCTACATGCTTACGTGAGTATGTCTTCAACTGGTTTATCTGCTTCCAGACTTGGTTTTGTTTCTCTTTTCTGAATGATATATCCCTACAAAAATCCAATATTAAAATCATTCCTAATCATAACTAATGAAGATTTATTTTCTTTTTTTTTTGATACAGAATCTCGCTCTGTCACCCAGGCTGAAGCACAGTGGTATATTCTTGGCTCACGGTAACCCCTGCCTCCCAGGTTCAGGCATTCTCGTACCTCAGCCTTCTGAGAAGCTGGGATTACAGGTGTGTGCCACCATACCTGGCTAATTTTTGTATTTTTAATAGAGACAGGGTTTTGCCATGACGGCCAAGGTGGTCTCAAACTCTTGTTCTCAAGTGATCTGCCCACCTCAGCCTCCTTAAGTGCTGGGATCACAGGCATGAGCCACCATGCCTAGCCCAAAGATTTACTTTCTATGACTGATATTAATTTTAATTTTCTGTAAGTAGAGTTACACTTTGAAAAGGAAAGAAAACACTCATAAGCTACGAGGTAATTCAAAAAGTGTTTAACGGCTGGGAGCCATAAATCACAAAATTTTTGGAAAGTGCTGACAAATGAAAATGGGCTTCTATCTAAAACAAAACAAAAAAAATTTCAAATTCCTCAACTTTTCTGGAGAGCCAATACTAACCTGACAGTACTTTCTATAAAAGATAGGCAACAGAACAAAACTTACAAACCAATAGCAGTTGAAAGAAAACTATCCTGGGCCAGGCATAGTGGCTCCTGTCTGTAATCCCAGCACTTTGGTAGGCTGAGGTAGGCAGATCACTTGAGGCCAGGAGTTCGAGAACAGCCTGGCCAACATGGTGAAACCCTTCATCTACTGAAAATACAAAAACTGGCTGGGCGTGGTGGCACGTGCCTGTAGTCCCAGCTACTCTGGAGGCTGAGGCAGGAGAATCACTTCAACCAGGGAGATGGAGGTTGCAGTGGGCCAAGATCATGCCACTACACTCCAGCCTGGGCAACAAAGCAAGACCGTCTCAAAAAAACTATCATGGAATAAGCATATTACAGTTAACAATTTTCCAAAATAAAATAAAATTTATATATAATAACCCTTTAATTAACATTTAATTTCTGAAAACCCAAATCAATAAAATCACAACAGTTTATAATAAAGTACACATGGTGCTACCTTCCCACTGAAGTTGGATGTTGTTTTCATATAGTCTTCTGCTTTCTGCAGACAAACAAGTATTTTTTCAATATCTAACAGTGGGGGAATAAAAGGAAAAAAAGTATCAATCAAAAGTCAACTAACCATAGCTAAACAACTAGGTAGAAAAACAGGAAAGTACTTATGAAATGATGTAGTGTTCAAGAAAATTAGAGATAGTGATTTCATGTTTGTGATTGATATATGTAAATAAGGTTACATTTTGACCAGCATATTGTCCCAGTAGCTTTTATTGAATCATCCCCTTTCCCTCCATGACCTGAAAAGAAACTTTGTTCATAAACTAAATTTCCATATATATTTCAAACTATTTTAGGATTATTTATGCTATTCTCCAAAAACTTAGTTGTAATTACTACAGCTTCATATTTTAATTTGTGAAGGGTTACACAGACAGTAATAATAGTAAATCATTATTAGTATTTTCCAGAGTTTTCCTGAACATTTTCACATGCTTTTACTCCATATAAATATCATCATTTTATAAAAACAAACAAAAAACAAAACACCACCATCAGCACCTGTTGTCATTTTATGACTGCACTGATTTAACATATTGCAGAAACTAAAACATTCACTAAATTTCACTGTTTTTCTTTTTTGAGGGTAACGATACTTGTTTTTGTGGGTTTGAGATGGGTGTCTCACTCTGTTGCTTGGGCTATAGTACAATAGTCTAGTCAACACCCCACTGTAGCATCAAACACCCAGGCTCAAGTGATCCTCCACCTCAGCCTCCCAAAGTGCTGTGATTGCAGGCATGAGCCACTGTGCCTGGCCAAATGTTTTTCATTCTAGAACCATCTGCATACTTATTACTTTTTCAGAAATAATTTTTCATAGTTGGAAAAAAAAAAAAAGAACAAAATAAATGAACAAAAATGTGCCATGAAGACATACATACCTTTAGTTTCAAGTTTTTCATCCACTTTGACATTACCCGAGAATCCATTTTCTATAAGACAGTGTTCAATGAGAGCTGGTCCATAGGCTGTAAATGGAGAGGATATTATTTTTAGTATTTTCCTACAAAATTTCTTTTTTTTTTTTTTTTTGAGATGCAGCTTCACTTGATGCCCAGGTTGGAATGCAGTGGTGCAATCTTGGCTCACTGCAACCTCCATACCTCTGCCTCCCACCTCCTGCCTTAGCCTCCAGAGTAGCTGGGATTACGGGCACCCGCCACCATGCCCAGCTAATTTTTGTATTTTTAGTAGAGACAGGGTTTCACCATGTTGGCCAGGCTAGTCTCAAACTCCTAACCTCAGGTGATCCACCCACTTTGGCCTCCCAAAGTGCTGGGATTACAGGTGAGAGCCACCATGCCCAGCCTAAAATTTAACACTCAAAATAGAGCACAAATTTATATCCCAATACAAATGATCTACTCATAACCTTGGCCAGTGAAAACAATAAGTTTACTTAGAAATGACAATTCTAGTTCTTGAAGAAATTTGAGACCACAATTAACTTACAAAAGTCAGTGCAAGCTGTAGGAATTTAATGGGCTTCAGCCACAACGAGGACTTATCCCTAGAATGCAAGGTTGGTTTAGCAGCCAAAAATTGGTTAATGTAATAGTTCATATTAATAAAGAAAAAGAGCCATATATCATTTCAGTAGATGCAGAAAAAGCATTTGACAAAATGCAATACTAATTCCTAATAAAAACTCTCAATAAACTAGGAATAGAGGGAGCATTTTCAGTCTTATATACCTATGAAAAACCTACAGCTAATAAGATAATTATTGGTGAAGGAATGAATATTATTCCCCTAAGATCAGGAATAAGGAAAGAATATGCAGTCTCACAAGCTATTCAACATTGTACTGGAGGCTACTGCTAGCATAATAAGGCAAATTAATTAATGGCCTTCAGATTCTAAAGGAAGAAGTAAAGCATCCTTATTCACAGATGACATGACCCTGTATGTTTTAAAAATCCTAAGGAACCCACAAAAAAAAACCCTACGAGAATGAATAAACAAGTCTCAGGTTTGCAGGATACAAAAATCAATATATAGAAATCAATTGTATTTCTATGCAAAAACTCAAAAAAACAATTCCACTCAGAATAGCATTAGAAGGCATGAATAAATCTGAGAGAAATTAAAGATCTAAATAGACATTCTTCATAGAAGATGCAATGTAGTTATTTATTTTTTGAGACAGAGTCGCACTCTGTTGCCCAGGCTGGAGTTCAATGGCGCAGTCTCGGCTCACTGCAACCTCCATCTTCCGGGTTCAAGAGATTCTCCTGCCTCAGCTTCCTGAGTAGCTGGGATTACAGGCATCTGCCGCCATGCCCAGCTAATTTTTGTACTGAGATGGAGTCTCACTCTATCACCCAGGCTGGAGTGCAGTGGTGCCATCTCGGCTCGCTGCAACCTCCACATCCTGGGTTCAAGTGATGCTCCTGCCTCAGCCTCCTGAGTAACTGGGATTACAGGTGCACGCCACCACATCCAGCTAATTTTTATATTTTTAGCAGAGACGCGTTTTACCATGTTGGTCAGGCTGGTCTCGAGCTCCTGACCTCGTGATCCACCAGCCTCAGTATCTCAAAGTGCTGGGATTACAGGTGTGAGCCACCGCACCTGGCTCAATGTAGTTAAAATGGCAATTCTCCCCAAACTGATCCACAGACTTAATGTAATCTTTATCAGGGTGGGTACAGTGGCTGACAGCTATAATCAACACCAGCCTGGCCACCCGGGTGAAACTCCGTCTCTACTAAAAATACAAAAATTAGTGGGTATGGTGGCACATACTTGTAATCCCAGCTACTTGGGAGGCTAAGGCAAGAAAATGACTTGAATCCAGGAGGTGGAGTCTGCAGTGAGCTGAGATCATGCCACTGAACTCCTGTCTGGGAAATAGAATGAGCCTCTTTCAAATAATAGCAATAATAGAATCCATATCAAAATCCTATGAGCCTTTTTTTGCAGAAAGTAACATGTAAATTTTATAAGGAAACGCAGGCTGCGAGCAGCTGCTCACACCTGTAATCCCAACACTTTAGGAGGCCAAGAAAGGCGGACTGCTTGAGCTCAAGAGTTTAAGACTAACCTGGGCAACATGGTAAAACCCTGTCTCTACTAAAAAATACAAAAATTAGCCACAAGTGACAGTACATGCCTGTACTCCCAACTACTTGGGGGGCTGCTGCAGGAGGATGGCCTGAGCCTGGGAGGTTGAAGCTGCAGTGAGCGGAGTTCACACCACTGTACTTCAGCCTGGGTGACAGACTGAGACCCTCAGGAAATGCAAAAGATCTTTTGAAATGCCAAATGCCAAAACTTTTCTGAAAAAAAAATGAACAGTTAGAGAGGATATATAAGTTGAGTATTCCTTATGTGAAGTGTTGGGATAGAAGTATTTCGGATTTCAGATTTTTTCATGTTTTGGAATATCTGCATATATCTAATGAGATGTCCTGGGGATGGAACCCAAGCCTAAACACAAAATTCATTTATGTTTCATGGATACTTTAAACAATATAGCCTGAAGGTGATTTTATATAATATTTTAAATAATTTTGCATAGCTGTCACATGACTGGAATTTTCCACTTATGGTATCATGTCTGTGCTCAAAAAGTTTCAGACTTCAGATTTTCACATTAGGAATGTTCAACCTGTACTACCTGATTTCAAACATTACAGAAATTTGCCAGGGGGAGGCCAGGTGTGGTGGCTCATGCCCGTAATCCCAGCACTTTCAGTGGCTGAGGTGGGTGAACTGCTTGAGCCCAGGAGTTCAAGACCAGCCTAGGCAACATAATGAGACCCCACCTCTTAAAAAAATAAATTTTAAAAAGAAAAAAAAGAAATTTGCATTTGCCAGGGAGAGACTGGCTTAATCTAAATTTACACATTTTACACATGCTATACTAACAGTTGGAAAGTTCTAAAGATAATTTTTTTTTTTTTTTTTGAGACGTCTTGTTCTGACACCAGCCTGGAGGACGGTGGCACAATCTCAGCCCACTGCAACCTGCGCCTCCCGGTTCAAGTGATTCTTCTGCCTCAGCCTCCCGAGTAGCTGGGACCACAAGCACACAACACCACGCCCAGCTAATTTTTGTATTTTTTAGTAGAGACAGGGTTTCACCATGTCAGTCAGAATGGTCTCCATCTCTTGACCTCATGATCCTACCTGCCTTGGCCTCCCAAAGTGTTGGGATTACAGGCGGTGAGCCACCACGCCCAGCCTAAAGATAAATTTGGAATGCATTTCAATTTCATAAGAGAGGAAGAGTAACTTTCTAGTGCTCAGTAATCAATGATACCTGCTGCCCTCTATGTCTTCTCTAGATTGTTTAATATAGGGCTGAGTGATGATCTTCTCAAGTGTATTAGGATCAAAAGATCTGGCAGATGCTGGGATGCACTGAGACCCACCAATTAAATTAAAAAAAAAAAAAAAAAAAAAAAACTAAGATAATCCGATATTAAATCGAAGACTCACGTTGAAAAAATCTGATTTCTTGGAATACTACCTTTAGCCCTGAAGTACTAGATAACACAATCTGCATTGCTTTTAAATAAAATCTAATAGATAAAGCTCAAACTTCATATGGTTTAACTTCTCTTTCTTTGACAATAAACTCCTATTTACTGAAAGAATCACTTTAAGCTTCTTGTTCAAATTTTCTAATAAAACCATAAAAGAAGGCCGGGCGCAGTGGCTCACGCCTGTAATCCCAGCACTTTGGGAGGCCAAGGCGGGTGGATCACGAGGTCAAGAGATCGAGACCAGGATGGTCAACATGGTGAAACCCCGTCTCTACTTAAAATACAAAAAAAAATTAGCTGGGCATGGTGGCGCGTGCCTGTAATCCCAGCTACTCAGGAGGCTGAGGCAGGAGAATTGCCTGAACCCAGGAGGCGGAGGTTGCGGTGAGCCGAGACCGCGCCATTGCACTCCAGCCTGGGTAACAAGAGTGAAACTCCGTCTCAAAAAAAAAAAAAAAAAAAAAAACAAACCATAAAAGATTTAAATATATTCCTGAAAACCACACTGCCTTGCAAACATTTTACTGCTATATGCAGAAATACTCACGAAGTAATGGGTTAAGCACTCTCTTCAGTAGTTCACCCTTAGGTGCGCTGGCTATTATTCCAGTCAATCTGTGAAACAAAATTGAGATGCCTCTTACTATCACATATTAACTAAACTTTACAGCAATCTTCGTATTCATACTACTTTCATCTGTATCAATTCACCTGATCTTTACAATAATCTGAAATTTAACAGGAATTCATTCTTCTGTAGTGAGAAAATGGGTCACAGAAGTAATTTATCCAAGATTTATTTTCATTTATTTATTTTTTTGAGATGGAGTCTTACTCTGTTACCCAGGCTGGAGTGCAGTGGAGTGATCTTGGCTCACTGCAACCTCTGCCTCCCAGGTTAAAAGCGATTCTCCTGCCTCAGCCTCCTGAGTAGCTGGGACTACGGCGGGTACCACTATGACTGGCTACTTTTTGTATTTTTAGTAGAGATGAGGTTTCACCATATTGGCCAGGATGGTCTCAATCTCTTGATCTCATGATCCACCCACCTTGGCCTCCCAAAGTGCTAGGATTACAGGCATAAGCCACCTCGCCTGGCCATTTATCCAAGATTAACAGGTTCTTGAACAGCAATTTTCTAAGAGAAATCAGTTATTTTTTTTCTACCAAGTCATATTGCTTGTCAGCAATGTGCCTACATATAAATGATATTAAAATAACATTTTTTTCTATAAAAGTTAAATGTTTATAAATTTTCATGCCATATTTAATATCCAAAATGGCTTTACCTAATTAGGCATCTAACAACAACTTTGAAGAATGTTGTAGATCAATGTGGTCCCCATACCAGCATCAGCATTACCTGAGAACTATTTAGAAACACAAATTCCTGGGCCCTACACTAGATCTACTGAATTAGTAGAGGGTGGGGGCAGCAATCTATGTTTTAACAAGCCCTCCAAGTAATGCTGATGCATGCTAAACTTTATTTATTTATTTAATTTTTTTTCAATTTTTGAGATGAAGTTTTGCTCTGTTGCCAAGGCTGGAGTGCAATGGTGCAATCTCAGCTCACTGAAACATACACCTCCCGGATTCAGGCGATCCTCCTGCCCCAGGCTCCCAAGTAGCTGAAATTACAGGTATGTGGAAGAACTAATTTTTTTTTAATTTAGTAAAGTTGGGGTTTCACCATGTTGGTCAGGCTGGTCTGGAACTCCTGGCCTCAAGTGATCCACAATCCTTGGCCTCCCAAAGTGCTGGGACTACAGGCGTGAGCCACCGTGCCTCACCAACTTTATTTATTTAATGTAGGCTAATTAGATCAAGCAGTGGGAGTGGAGAAGGAACAAAGAAATGATGTATGTTAAACTTTAAGAACCACTGCTATAGAACATGAGTCAGCAGAGCCTTCCAGCCAGCTGTAATACAAAAAAAGTGACGAATACAGCTACAATCATCACTTTACCTCATCTTACTTCCCTTTTTCTTAAGTAAACCAGAATTCCTCTCCTTTGCCCTCTGCACAAGAAATCCATCTATCTTCTCATAGAGTAGTTAATAAGTCTCCTCAATTCACCAAGAAATCATAACCATTTGAAGTAACCCACAACAGCTTAAAAAGACATTGGGCTCACTTTGGCAGGACATATACTAAAATTAGAACGATACAGAGATTAGCACGACCCCTGCTCTAGGATGACATGCAAATGTGTTAAGTGTTCCATGTTTTCTAATTTTAAATTTTAAAAACTTTTTAAATTTTAAGTAAAAAAAAAAATAAATGAAAAAGAAAGATATTAGCTGGGCGCGGTGGCTCATGCCTGTAACTCCAACATTTTGGAAGGCTGAAATGGGAGGATTGCTACAGCCAGGAGTTCCACACCAGCCTAAGCAACAAAGCAATAGCCCATCTCTACAAAAAAATTTAAGAATTATCCAGGCATTGGGGTGTGCTCCTGTAGGCCCACCTACTTGGGCAGCTGAGGTGGGAGGATTGCTTGAGCCCAGGAGTTCAAGACTGCAGTCAGCTACGATCTTGCCATCTGCATTCCAGCCTCAGGGAAGGAGGAGTGAGACGCAACCTCTAAAAAAAATTAAAGAACAGGTGTGGTGGCTCATCCCTATAATCCAGCACTATGGGAGGCCAAGGCAGCGGACTACCCGAGGTAAAGAGTATGAGACCAGCCTGGCTAACATGGTGAAACGCTGTCCTTACTAAAAATACAAAAAATAGGTGGGCATGGTGGTGCACGCCTGTGGTCCCAGTTACTTGGGAGCCTGAAGCAGGACCATCACTTGAACCCAGGAGGCAGAGGTTGCAGTGAGCCGAGATCACGCCACTGCACTCCAGCCTGGGCAACAGAGCGACACTCAGTCTCAAAAATGAACAAATAAACAAACAAAAATAAATACATACATTTGCCACTCCCAAATAAGGCTTAATTGCTTATAGGCACATTTATGTAGTTCAAGCAGTCTAAATTTAGTTATGTTATCTAAATAAAACAGAATTTTTTTTTTTGAGTGAGAGTCTTACTCTGTCACCCAGGCTAGAGTACAGTGGTGTGATCTCGGCTCACTGCAACCTCCACTCCTAGGTTCAAGCAATTCTCCTGCCTCAGCCTCCCAAGTAGCTGGGGTTACAGGTGACTGCCACCACACCTGGCTAATTTTTGTACTTTCAGTAGAGATGGGGTTTCATCTTGTTGGCGACGCTAGTCTCGAACTGCTGACCTCAAGTGATCTGCCCACCTCGGCCTCCCAAAATACTGGGATTACAGGCATGAGCCATTGAGCCCGGCTGTGAAACAAAATATTTTATCTCACAGTTCTTTCATATTCTAACATATGACTATTTCACCTTTTTTTTTTTAAGAGACAGGGTCTCATTATGTTGCCCAGTACAATTTAATACAATGTGAAATGAATTTAAAAACAAAACACTTTACCTTTCCAAAGTAAGCAAAGGTTCAGCAGCTCTAGCATGATCAAGTGGATAGTGTTCACGAACAGCAAATTTAACATCATCTGCCTCATCAGTTCGAAACCTTAGAATATTTAAAATTATGTACTCATAATCTGTAAGAACAATGTTCCCCTGCAATAGAATAAGATACAATTTAGTGCTTTTTCAAATCATTTTTGAGGCGAGACGCAGTAGCTTACAACTGTAATCCCAGCATTTTGGAAGGTCGAGGGGAGCAGATCACCTGAGGTTAGGACTTCAAAACCAGCCTGGCCAACATGGTGAAATGCAAAAATTACAAAAATACAATAACTAGCTGGGTGTGGTAGCAGGCGCCTACAATCACAGCTACTTGGGAAGCTGAGGCAGGAGAATCACTTGAACCCAAGAGGTGGAGGTTTCAGTGAGCTGAGATCAGACCACTGCACTCCAGCCTGGGCAAAAAGAGCAAACGCTGTTTCAAAAAAAAAAAAAAAATTAAAAAGGCAAACAAAAAAACAAAATAGCTGGGTGGAGTGGCTCACGCCGGTAATCCCAGCACTTTGGGAGGCCAAGGGGGGCAGATCACGAGATCAGGAATTCGAGACCAGCCTGGCCAATATGTTGAAACCCCATCTCTACTAAAAATACAAATATTAGCCAGGCGTGGTGGCGCATGCCTGTAGTCCTAGCTACTGAGGCTGATGCAGAAGAATCACTTGAACCCAGGAGGTGGAGTTTACAGTGAGCCAAGATAGTGATACTGCATTCTAGCTTGGGCAACAGAGCAAGACTCTGTCTCAAAAACAAAAAGCAAACAAACAAAAAAACAGAAAAAACAAATCATTTTTGGAACTACCTAAAAATTGAGAAAGAAAATGTAGTCAATTTCAGTAGCCAGCCAGGCAAGGTGATATTATATTACACTTTCATCTGCAATTTGTCTTTTAATAACAACAGTTACATGGCATGAGCAATACAGTTAGTTGCCGTTTGCCCAAGCATTTCCACATTTGGTAATGTAGCTCGATGAAGTAACTCCAATATTCCAATAAAACCAAAGGCAAGCCGGGCGCGGTGGCTCAAGCCTGTAATCCCAGCACTTTGGGAGGCCGAGGCAGGTGGATCACGAGGTTAAGAGATCGAGACCATCCTGGTCAACATGGTGAAACCCCGTCTCTACTAAAAATACAAAAAATTAGCTGGGCATGGTGGCGCGTGCCTGTAATCCCAGCTACTCAGGAGGCTGAGGCAGGAGAATTGCTTGAACCCAGGAGGCGGAGGTTGTGGTGAGCCGAGATCGCACCATTGCACTCCAGCCTGGGTAACAAGAGCGAAACTCCGTCTAAAAAAAAAAAAAACAAAGGCAACATGCTTAAAGATGTTCACTGAATTTTATTTACATAGTAAAATTAAAAAAAGAAAACAGCCTAAATATGAAAATTAGGGAAATTAAATTATGATAGATCAACACAACAAAAAGAGTAAAAAAGAAGTTAACTAATGGAGACTATGGGAAAAAAAGGAAAATATTTATAATGTTAAGTAAAGCATAGCAAGATACACAAAAAAGTTGTATCCTAGAAAATGGAAGGCATATGAAGGCTAAAGTGAAATTACTTATTAAATATTTACAATTAAAGACTTTTTAAAATTTAATGTTGTTAGGTAACCTTTTCAATAAAAAAGGGGAAACGTACTGAAAATAAAACCAAAAAATACCACCTTCCAAATTTACTACAGACAGTGAAGATAGGGTTACCATACAGGTATAATTAAAATACAAAGAAGCATCCATGAAAATAGTCAAAAATGCCTTACAACTGCTTACAAGATAGTCATGGAACACAGTGGGAGTAATCCCAATCTCATGTGAAATGACAGGTTGCAACATAAGTGGCTTCAGTAAATGTAGCCACCATTTATCTTGATTAGAGAGATAGATAACCAGAAATTTCTAAGTGTTGAAAAACTAGTACCAGGCCAGGCGCAATGGCTCATGCCTGTAATCCCAGCACTTTGGGAAATCAAGGCACACAGGTCATCTGAGGTCAGGAGTTCCAGACCAGCCTGGCCAATGTGGTGAAACCCTGTCTTACTAAAAGTACAAAAATTAGCTGGGCATGGTGGTGGGCACCTGTAATCCCAGCCACTCAGGAGGCGGAGGCAGGAGAATAGCTTGAACCCAGAAGGCAGAGGTTGCAGTGAGCCGAGATTGTACCATTGCACTCCAGCCTGGGTGACGAGAGCAAAATTCCATCTCAATTTAAAAAAAAAAAGAAAGAAAAGGAAAACTAGTACCTACGGCTAAAGGTTCTGACTTCAAAGCCACCATATATTTAAATGTTAAACATTTATTTTTAATTTAAAGAACAGATTCATATTCTTGTCAGCAGAGGAAAAAAAGAAAAAAATGGGAAAAAAAAAACAAAAACAAAAACAGAGAGATAATGAAAAAGGTAAGTAAGGGGCTTGCAAAGAAGTCTGGATAGTATCCAGTTCAGGAAGACATGAAAAATAGACCTGGAGGCAGATCCTGGTACATACAAAATGCTTTATTTATTGAATCAAACTGTACAGTTATTAGGAATACGTAGGAGACAGTATTTCCCAGAAAGGACTTTCCTTAAACCAGTTTCCCAAAAGCATTACGAAAGACCGGTCCTCTTACCCCCACTAGAAAAAAAGAATTCTGTAGTCAATTAAGTTTTGGAAATTCTACGTAACATTCCCTTCTCCAGAAAAGGTAAACATAACATTACCATATTAAAGGCATTGATAATTCCTACAGTTAATTTTTTTTTTTGGCCAGGCGCAGTGGCTCACGGCTATAATCCCAGCACTTTGGGAGGCTGATGTGGGCGGATCATGAGGTCAGGAGATCAAGACCATCCTGGCTAACACGGTGAAACCCTGTCTCTACTAAAAAATACAAAAAATTAGCCAGGTGTGGTAGC